CTATATCGCTGTTTGCACTTTTTAAAGTTCCATTTACCTAGTTTCAGATTCCAGGTTCATACTTGCAGTGAAAGAAATCATCTATTTCTTCGTTCAGAACACGTATACCTGTAGCCGTATAGTTTTTTTGCTTTATGTTTCCGCTGCATTTGCGTGACTTTTCCTATAGATTCTAGCGTGATTAAAGACAAAGGAGTCTATTTACTTTCCTTATCGTGTGTTAAACCTATGCCTCTTTTCGATTTCCTCTAGAAACACGCACAAGAATTGCATCGACAAAGACCAGATCTCTATAAAGATGCAAATCACAAACCGGAACTGGCTATCGCGCTTACACCTTTTGAAGCTCTACTGGCGTTTCGACCCGTTTCCGAGATCGCTTGTTTTGTCGGAGGTGCGTCTGCTTATTCAGATTGCTGTTAATTCACTACTGTTTGTTGTTTCAGTATTGTCACTTGTGGCGGTTCATTCAGTATTTTCTTTCGATCTGTATGATTTGGCAAATCATCGGTGCGCTCAGTTAAACGGTATTCAGTACGTGGATTAAAGTTGTTCTTTCCTTCCTTTTCTCCCGCTGTTGGCGGGGTTGGAACCTCGGGCTATAAGGCCCAAAGCCAGCCAGTGTCAGCGAATAAACCACCGCGCCGCTACCAGCCTATGGGAACTGCGTGTCATTCAACAAACCGGCTATAGTCCCCGATTCAGACTTTTCATCCTCGCAATTTGGTCTGAAAACAATTCCACCACGTGAAGGCAGTGAGTAGAGGGTTTCTTCAGAAAAGGCTGTTTAAGGTGATTGGTCATATAAACCCAATTCTCGAGGTGCAATCGAAGTATGACCAGTAACAACCCAAGTCACCCACTGCCGACCTTGCTAGACTTTTCATAGGTCTGCGGTCTTTACACCACCATGCGACCTAATTAGTCAGGTTTAGGAGAGTCAAAGTCTTTGATTGTGAATTCCGAAGAAAATGATGCGTGTTGGTTTTGCACTGAAGAACGAATGGTGAGTGGATTTCTTTGCTATTAATAATTGTATACTGTGATTGTTTTGGTATCCATTTCCGCGTTTTCCATTTGGCCCTTATGTGCAGAAAAATGACTAATACATTTGGCACAATTTTTTCAGATGCGTGTTCTAGGAATCATATCTGCCCCCCGCTTTGAACTCTATCAAAATTCAGCTTGAATGCAGCATTTGATGCTTTTTTTTTACTAGTTTCAGTAATTTTCCACTTCAGAGCGGAAATGACTGCGATTTATTCGCTTTCACGTCGATTGCCAAAGAATGCATATGCAGATTTTGCGAAGAAATGCTATTCCATGAGTGGTAGTATTTCAAAGCTGTTATGAGAGTTTCAAAAGTGAGATCATCGTTCGTTGTTCGCCGTAAAGCTTATTGAGTGCACACTTTAGAACTAAAATGAGTTCAGCGACAACTGCAAATTGCATACTGCGAGACTAATTTCTGTCCCCTTTGTTGTCCATATTTATTTTGTTTTCTCAGCGTTTAAGACCACTTAATTTTTTTAATACACATCAGTTTGTGATGAGTAGTAGACCCTAACTCAGAAAGTCCCACCGTTCAGTTTTGAGAACCAGTAACCCTAAATCTAGGACTTAGAGACCATATAAGGCCCAAATCGGATAGGTGAGGTACTAAGCCGAGTGGTAACGAAGGTGTGGGCCATCAAGGTAGGATCACAAGTGATTCATCACGATACGGTTGTTTCCAGACAGTCATCTCAGTGACTCACATTTTTATTCAAGGTTTAGTATAAATTATGGTGAGTGGTCAAGTGCAGAAAGAGAAGGTATAACGACAATTATTGCCCTATGTTTCTTGACCACAGCCAATATAAAACCTTTGGTTTTGCAGGTCTGAGTTAAGTTGAACAACATTGGTCCACGAAGTGTACTCCAGTTCGTTTCGCTAAGTAATAAATGAAAATGCTGTCTTATTATTAGAACACTACCTAACCTGTAGGTTGGTCATTGATTTGACCGCATGTTAATGTCGCCTCCGAAAGTCACAGTATGATCGGGAGGTGGTTTGTCACCTTTCCCTTGCACCTCGCGAACTGCTCCGGTACGACCAAGCGTCTCAAATAGACTCCGCTGCGCATGCCCTACTCACTACCTTCAGGTGGTGTTTTCCCACCAAAGCGAGAGGAAGCCAAGATCTGGGACTATAACCTAGTTGGTGAACCATCGGCAGTTCATCCAGGGGCATTGGCTAAAATCCCTGATTCCAAACCAGCCAGGAGGAAAGGTGCGAGCCACACACCTTCCTAGTTGTGGCCATGGTCATCTGCTCAATCGGACTTCGAGTTGTGTTGATCACCTTGAGCGTCTGACCCCGTCCACAGGGTCCGATAAACTGGACACCGACCCCCCAATGAATTGCGGTTTTCACACCGCCCCGCTTACTTGCGGCTCAGGCTTTGGCTAACCGAAGACTCCGGTTGTGAACCCCTCAAAAAAATTCACCTGGGCAGCCTGGCAGCATTCGGCCTACATGAAAATCATGGAACTTTTTTGTTCGGCACACGATCTGGCCTCAGACGCGTGTGAAATGTAATATGTAATAATGCGAATGTCAGTTTGACTGATTTACTTCTGCTGTTTATCACAAAGACGTGAATTCTAATATTGTCTTTATAATAATGAATCTCAAGTAAATCCGAATCCGTGTTTCTTTCCGATGTTTCTCCTCGCTTTGTTCAGGCATCCCGGAGCTTAAAGAAGTGATTGGTGATGAATGTGTCGCTGACCTGTGCTCTGTCGCCGACTCG